GTGTGGTGAACCCATGGGGTGGGGGGGGGGCGGTGGTGGCTGCAAGGGTCCTCCCTGCCTCTGGTCTTCCCAAGGCCTCCCTGGAGGGTTGCTCTGATACCAGCAGATGGTTAGCTGAGTCCTACATGTAGTCCTGATGCTCAGTCCCATCCCACTGACAGGTGACTGAGCTCAGGGTCAGTGTCTCCAAACAGGACAGACTGTCGACCTTGACCCCTGGACAGGGGGCCACTTCCACTCAGTTATAGGGGATGTTCTACAGCAGGGAAGTGGTCTCGCCCAGCTCCTTCTATTCTCAAGCTTCCAGAAGACTAGAAATTTCAGAATTTTCATGTCAGGCTACCCCTTCACGTAGAATAGTGTTTTTCAACCTTTTTAAAATTTCATCGCACACACAAACCTATAGTTAAACTTCCACAGCACACTTACGTTAATAAAAAAAAAGAGAAAAATATATATCTACTGTGTTTTGAACTTTTTCTGAAAAAATATAACTAACGATCATTTAAAAATTTCACAGCACACCTAAGATCCTCTCACAGCACACCAGTGTGCCACGGCATGCCAGTTGAAAATCACTGACTTACGGCCAACCCCAACCCAAGTGGCTCAAGTCTGTAATCCTAGCACTCTAAGAAGCCGAAGCTTGTGGATTATTTGAGCTCAGGTGTTCAAGAGCAGCTTGAGCAATAGTGAGACCTTGTCTCTACTAAAAAACAAATAGAAAAACTAGCTGAGTATAGTGGTGCATGCTTATAATCCCAGCTGCTCTGGATGCTGAGGCAAGAGGATCACTTACGCCTAAGAGTTTGAGGTTGCTGTGAGCTATGGTGATGCCATGGCACTCTACCCAGGGTGACAGAGAGAGACTCTGTCTCAAATAAATAAATAAAAGTAAAGAAAGTAGAAGATCACCACTAACTTACAAGAAAGTCAACCCTCTAAGGGCAGGGGACACTGGACACTTGTGGGGCTAGAACTCTGCCCTGAGCCCTATCACCTCTGTCCTCATGCTCCAGCCACACCACACCCTTCCTTTTCCCTGAACAGGCTGGGTCTCCCCCCTCCCCAATATCCTCACTCTCCCTCTACCCTACACCCGCCTGATGAGCACTATGGGAGCCCAGCTCAGCGGACGTTTCCCTACCAGAGTCTATCCCCAGAAGAATCTGTACTTCCGTCTTCACAATTAACACCTGTTTTATAAGCACTTAAAAGGCTTTTCTCCCTCATATTTCTTAGTACCTGCTTCAGCCCTGGCAGCACAGCCAGAACCAAGCAACTACTCTAAACTCCTCTAAGTGTTGTTGAATGAAAAATTAAGGATCCACGTAGGAAGCAGCTTCCCATTAGAGTGAATCTTGTGAGAGGAGCTGGACTTGTGCTTGGAACTTGTCTACAGAGGTGCCTACGTGCTGCCTCTCTGAGGGGCCTCCACAGGCAGCACATCTCTGGTAACCTGCTATTAAAAGATTGCGGCAGAGTGCTCTGTAGATCCTCTATTTACTGTAAATAATCAACCCAAGTAAGGAAAATCCCTCCGCATAGTTCTGCTAGTTAAATTGCACCCTAAACAAAACTAACAGAACACAGCCATTTCATAGTCTTAAGTAGGAATAGCTAATGCCATTAGAAATTAAGAAAAAAAGAATCCTATCTTTACAGACTAATAAATGAAACCTGCATCAGAAGACCACCCATGGTTCTAGAAAAAGTTGTTTTGCTACTAAGTTTAAAAAATTCAAGTCTTCGGGAGCAACTAATTTGAAAGCAGCCATAAATCACACCAATCCAAATGCCACTGGTGGTTTATAAACTGGCCCAATCCCATCCTGCTCAATCTCAGGAGTAGAAACCTTTTGACCTTCCTTTGGCTGAAATGTGACACAGTTAATACTAATATGAACTGTCCCCTTGAGTCAGCACAATTTTATGTGTATAATCACAGACCGAATCTTATTGAAATTTGTTTGATAGTAAGATTTTGGAATTCTCAGGTCCCTGTTTAGTTTCGAGATGACTAAATGATAAATATAAGCTGTATTTAAATACCTCATTGGGTGCCAAATTTAAAGTAGACAATACCTTCTCAGGTTTAAGTGGGACAAATTCAGAATAAGTAGCCAATTTCATAGAAACCTTAATAAGACCTTGTAGTGGTTATAATGAAAATATGCTGTTGAAGCTACTACAGAATACTCCAGACCTCCCATTGAGAACCTCATAAGCTTTTGAGTTATTTTTCTTAGGGAGTTGAAGGATGTATGGTGCCCGTGAGCTCAACCAGTCTCCATGGACACCAGGAAAGCCCACAGGAGGGGCTGGGGCTATGGGTGAAGGTGCGTGAAGGGGAAAACAAGTCACTGTCCTTCCCTCAGAAAATCCAAGGTCATTTACCAGTGGAGACCCACCTGCTGGGAAAGCATGGTGTCACTTTAACATTCAAAAAAAGTTTTTGTTCCCAGGGAACTTTTAAAGTCCTCTCTCCAAACCTAATAATTGCCTTAAATGCATTATGGAGGGCGGAGAAGAAGGAAAAGGTTAAGGAAGAAGAAGAAAATCAAGGTGACCGTTGTTGCTCTGGGGAAGCTCCCGCTTTAGCCCTTTCTGCGGGAGGACACCAACCTGACCTCCAAAAAGAAGGAATACAAAACTTCTTTTGCTTTATAAACTTCCTTTTCTCTTTGTTTCATAAGATGAAGAAAATTAAGAGGTGATGATAGAATCTTGATACCAAATCTGGTGCCAGAAAGTACCTATCAATAGCTTGACATGCCTGAGAAAGACGACTGGGCCACGAGTACAGATTTCAAATCCCCCTCATAGAGCTTGTGAGGCCAGAGAGGGCAGAGCTGTGGACAACCCTCACATGGACTTCTGGCCAGAATGAAAACAGCTGCACCCACAAAATCAATTTTCTCAGTAGACATGTGAATAAGAATACAAGGTAACAATTTTATTCACAAATAAAAAAGGCATTACAAAACTATTTGTATAAGAAAAGGATAATTTACAAATGTATAAATCCAGTATGCAAAATATAATGATGAAATCTAAATTGATTCAAGCTATCTTAAAGCAATGATGGATATTTTTCCTTTCCTTTTCCTTTTTTAATAACAAAATTAACACTTTATCTAAAGTAGAAAATCTGTATTTAAAAAATATATTCCATATACACATTAGAGAACTTGTGATTTCTCTTGGTTGCTCTCAAAATCCTTGTTTCATTCTTGACAATGAGCTTCAGCCGTGTGAAAAGCCATAACAATCATTTTATTTCCACTCAGCCACGAGGATCACCCCATGCAGATTTTCTGACATCAGCACTCCTGCAGTGGAGTTGATTGAGTGAATTTTTTTGCCTCAAATGTTCACAAAGTATGTAAAATATAATACTATTATGTGTTTCTAGAGTAGGTGGTAGTAAAATGTCTTCAAGCTTGATACAAAAGCCCAGGTTTTTTTCAAATGCAGTATCAAATGAAATCGATTTTCAACCCAAAGCATATTTCTACTGATCAAAAAGCAATGTTTCAGGATTTTGGCCAAAGTCTCAGTCCCATCAATCTGGCTTTCTCTAGCAAGTGTTTGTCTTTGAAGTTAATCAGGGCTCTACATGTGGAAAATATATTCAGGTTACACAAAGGAACACAACCCTGGCCTACTTTGATCATCTCTCTGTCAAAACAGACATGATCAGATTGCAAACAATGGCAGACATATGTGAATTACAGCGAAGTCACTCGAGGAAACTCTACCTGTGTTTTCATAGCTGTCTTGTGGTCAAATCTTAAATATTTTACATGAGTGTCCTAATGGCAATTCTCATAAGACTAGGTGACTTACCAGAGTTTAGGAACCATTGGTTTATGCTAATAAAAAAAAGTTATTCAATTATGGAGGATTGTGAGGTGCCATGAGACATGCTAATCTCCCATTTCTTTTTTTTTTTTTAGAGACAGAGTTTCACTTTGTAGCCCTTGGTAGAGTGCCATGATGTTGCTAATTTCCCATTTCAAGTAAGGAACTATTATTAGTCATGAGAAGTGCCAGCAACAGGCAAGCTGGTCTTCACCCACTGGAACCTGAAACTATGAATAGAGAAAAGGCTACAAGGAAGTGGGCTCATCCAGGTGTTCCAATGTCTTGCCAAGAGAGAAAACCATGGGGTAACAAGAGAGAAGATAAAAATGTCCCAGGAAATATAGGTTGATTTTAATATTCAGTTTAAATGTTAGGTGAAAGACATGAATTTGGGCAGGTCAATTTCAAAACAAAACAGTGCACTCTTCACATACTGATGCTCAAAAAGTCTATTTCTTCTTTAAGTAAAAAGGTGACAGAGCTAATAGTAAGCAGTTAAAAGAAAAAAGGCTGTGTAGATGCAACCACAGGAAAAAAAAAATCCTGCTCAGTGAAGTCCTCTCCAGGGCATAAAGATTAAGAGCAAAGGAGCCATTCTTTGCTTCATGACTAAACTGGGTTAATTAATTTCTTAGCCCTAGAGATAATTCTAGTGTGTCAATCACCAGAGCGGTTGGTGATAGAGCATCTTAACAGGAAGAAGCACCCTCCTCTTAAATCCAACACTATCTGGCTGAAAAACAGGAGATCACATGTTAACTAATCTTAAAGATTGGAGGGAACAATACCACGTCATGGTCAAACAACACCGTGGCAGTTACAGACCGTTCACCTACTGCCCCCACTCCCTCCACGCCGCCAAATTATGCCTTTTCTTTGGGTTCTAATATATAGTGTATTCTCATTGGAGACTATTTCATTAGTAGGGAATCTGACATGCTATAATTTCTAAAGCTTTTAGCATAAGATACAACACAAATAAAAGAGCATTACATTTATAAATATTACTTTTCACTATAAGATATTCAGGATCTTCTAGATCTTCTAAGCTCTGGCACAGGGACAGATGTAAAAAATGTTTCCATATTAACTAATTTTCACAGAAATATGCTAATCTTTGCATACAGGTCTCTCTGGACTGTGCATTAAGTGGTTTTTAATCCAGGGGGATGGGCCTCCCTTTCCCAGCAATGTTCCCTAAGCCAGGCCTGTCTTGATATCAGCATCGGCAGGTGTTCATGAGACACAGGCTGAGGTCCAAAGTGGTGCTTCTGATAAGATGCTCTCCTCTGACCCTTACTTAGGTCAGTCAACTTCAGGTAATAAATCCAAGATTTAGGCAGGCAGTATGAAGTCATTTGTAACCAGCTAAGCTAATCACTTTAGATGATGAAAAGGTGACCTTCTCTAATAGGAACACTCACTTTTGAACCCATTCAGCATTCAGGTTATGACATTTCATAGGCTATATGAAATTTCTCTGGAAGGAAAATGCAAGGGGAAATTTATACTCTGGGTCTTCAGTCTCATAAAACCACATTCAATAAGCATGAATGCAATTCTGTTTCTTGTTATGTGTTTGGAATCTCATCGGCTGCCAATTTAGCCCTTCAGTCTTTGAAGTCACTCTTGTAGCAGAGAAGGTCCTACCGCTGAAGAGACACAAAGTATCCTCAGTCTGCCTGCAGTCTTTTCTTATTATTCACTAAGGTTTCAGATTACAGCTGGTCTGGCACAGAAGCAACTGTGGCTTGAAATGCCATCCATTTGGTTCTGATTTGCTTTTTGCCCAGAAGCTGTGCACGGGGCAGACTGTGCTTATTCCATAAGCCTAAGAGAGGAGAGTGTCCTTTGGGCTCCAGACATACACTTCAGCAGAAAGAAGCAAGTCCTTTAAGCTTCCTAAAACAGCAATAGAAAGAAAGCTTTAAAAACAGTGCCTTACCAATTAAATCTGGTAAATTGTAATTGTAAAAAATTATTATGCATTACTTTTACTAATAGCATACATGAATTTTAGAAGTCCTTTCAACAGTATTCAAGCATCCAGGCACCCATGCACTCAGAATAAAATGAAGAGTCTCCTAACAACCCATAGCCCCCCAATGTTTGCAAAGGATGTTAATGTTAATGTTAAAAGATGCTAACGTAACCCATAGCAACCACAATGTATTAACAAGCAATTCTTTTGCTGATTCTGAACCTCATTCAAACATTTAAAACTTGTCTGTTCTGTGTTGTGTTTCTTTAATACAGTTGTAGGTAAAGATTTTAGGATTCTTCATTTCCTTTTTCCAGAACAAAAGATAAGTAATGAATAGTGCCATTCTTTATCTGCCAAGTAGTCTTCGAATGTGAAACTGCCATTAAACTATTAAAGGACATTTAGAAATGCTTGGGAATGAGAATTCTCTTACAATGATCTCCCTGGAACATTCACAGGGGCAAATATCCTCAGCAAAGTGGAGCTGACAGGCTTGTCCTTATCAAAAAGGGCACAGATCTCAGGAAGGAAGGAGGCATCAGACAATTCAACATTACTGGACACGAGTTAAACCTTAATTTCATGCACTAATTTACCACTAATTTGGCATTGGCTACATATCAGATAAGTTTATCCAAAAAATTTTCAGTAGGGCCAGATACAGTGGCTCATGCCTGTAATCCTAGTACTCTGAGAGGCAGAAGCAGGTGGATTGCTTGAGCCCAAGAGTTTAAGGTTGCTGTTTTCTATGATGATACCACGGCACTCTACCCAGGGTGACAGAGTGAGAGTCTATCTAAAAAAAAAAAATTTTTTTTTTCAACTAAGTCTAGGGAAATTATCTAGAAATAAAAGCTTCTGAAATACCTTCAATAATAAGATACAGTTTTATAAAATATGTTGACCAATGGACATGATAGAATTAACCATATTAACCCTCCTGCGAAAGGTGAGTTATCTTCATTTTACCAAGAAAGAAAAAGTGGAGATTTCAATAGATTGAGAAAGTAGAACCCAGGTCCTCTTGTATCTCTTCTAACCTTCTTTGCTTGTTCATGTCCATACTTAAAATGTGGCTTAAAAACATCAAGAAAAGCTCTTCCTGTAAGAAAACCAGCTGACTTCACTCTTCCAAATATCTCAGCAAATGATATCCTAAATTTCTCAGTTCTATTCCCTCTTAGGGAGACGTACATAGGAAGAATTTGATTAAAATTGAGTCATATAGATTAAAGAAGGCTCTCACACCTATTTCCTTCATCCTGAACCATAACTATCATCATAACAATCATCGTCAGATTCTGGGTAGTCTTAAACCACCCACGAGGAAACTAGTGTGTGAAGATAATCGTTTTTGGAAACAAATGCGTCATGTATCAAAATCACAGTCCTACACCAAGTAAAGACAAAAGTCTTGCTGTGCCTATATCTTCTCCTTACCTCCCAAAGAGAGGTGCTTTCCTGAACTAGGGATGAGCCCATGTCATGGAGCCAAGTAACAAAACATGAACTCTGGAATGGTTAACAATCTTAACAGTGAGCTCCTGAAATCAACTATTATTGAGAAGTAAATGTGTTCTCTACCTTGGAAAATTAGCCTGTTGGGGGAAATGTGAATTGCTTTTTAGAATATAGTAGACTGGAAAATAAAACAAAACGAAAGACTAGGTGAGAAGCAGGTGGACTGCTTGAGCCCAAGAGTTTAAGTTGAGTTGAACACTTGCCTGACCTCTGAAATAAAGAGGAGGATCCAGCCCCCAAAGGTCTACAGTTGCTGCTGTTCCCTCTTTTCTTTGGAAGATTAAGGTTCATTCACTACGTCTCACAGATCAGTAAGCAAATCTAACTAAAGAGAAAGTAGTTTTTAGAATCTGGAAAAGATTATCTCTTAGAATGGGCTCGATATTATTTATTGTTTTTAATCGGAGAGGAAAAATGGAAACGGTTAACATTTTAACAATTCCTTTTCTGAATTCAGAAGATCATACTTACATTAGCCTAAATCTCAAAAAGCTAATAAAATACTTTCATTATTAAGTTATACTGTGCAACTCAAATGTAGCATTTTCTTGTCAGATTCATTTTAGATGGAATCACAATTGTCTTTTCATAATGATTGGAGTTGAACATGTCTTTATATAGATGATGATGATTACTTTGACTATCTTTGAAGAGGAATTAATGTCATTATATGCCAATCTTATACACTAAAATAACTTTAAACAGTTTTACATTCATATAGCTGTGGTAATGGTGCTTATAAACCCTTCCCCAACCCTACCAACAACATAAACAGAAAAAGAGAGAGACTGAGTTGGTTCTGGAGTGACCTGGTATCAAGATGTTTCATTCTTTAGTCTCAGCAACTTCTATCACAAACTTGGGAACAAGGGACAAAATTAAGGTGAGCAGTAATTCTGTTTACTGATTGGACTCTGAGAAATTGCTGACAGTCAGCTGGTGGCAGTCACTGCATTATTTAGGCCTTCCCCTAATGACAGGTGTACAGCATACACCTGGTAGTTACAGGTGAAGGTAACTCACTCAGAGTGGCTGGCGAGGCACCCAATTCCTCTGTTGCTGGAGGGGAGGGAGTCACCCTGCCCTTGTTTTCTGCTTCCTCTCACCATGGGTGCCCTGCTGGCATGTGGGACTTCGTTACCTGCTCTAGGCTATGGGACATTCTCAGTTCCCAAGTTTTGTGGGGCACAATCCATTCTGGAGACTTACACTATACTGGACTAAGGCTTTTCTTATTTACTATCATGAAATGTTACAAATTATGGGATGCCTTAAAAAAAAAAAATCAGCAAACCATCTTTCCCAGCTCCCAGTGGCGCTCAGAGGTGTGCGTGTTATGGTTTTTAAACTGCCTAACTTGTTTGCTTTCCCTCCTTTATCTCTTCCATATATTTGCCATGTTAAGAAGAAAACCAACATTTCCTCACTCCCCCCAAAGCTAGTAAGTGTTTTCTCTACAGAATTCCCTATAAATGTTCTCAGAGAATTTTTTACAGTTAAAAAAAAATGAGTACTACAGACTCAGATCAACATATGATCTGCGTACTGATCTTAAAAAGAACACATCTGAGTTCACACTTTGACTTCAGACTCAGTTTCTGATATAATTAGGCGAGGATACAAAATCTGATGGGAGGCCCCACGTAGGAGCAGGTGCAGAGTCTTCTTCAGCACCCAAGGCCCTGACCAGAGCAGGCAGGGACAAGACGTGAGAGCCAGGCTGTCTGTGCAGGGGAGGGGCTGGAGGGCTGGGAGCTGATGTGTCACTGTGACTCTGCCCTTTTGTACTCAAGGCTGACACCATTTTTCAGAAGAACTTATGCTAAAAATATATGCACTTCCATTTAAGGAAATGTTTGTAAACATTAAGCCAAATTCAGCAAAGGCCATGTCCTCACATGGAGGAGAAAGCAAGGAGATGGTGCTCCCTTGTCCCTGAATCCTCCTCTGCTGCCTCCCGCTCTGCTGCTCACCAGAGAGCCCCCCTTTTCTCTGCAGTTGCCACCTCCCCTGATTTTAAATTCTTCTACCTGGGAATGTCTTATGATGTGTTTGATCTCAGGTCACAACCCCCAATTTCCAACCACATGAGTCAATTAGTTAAAACAGAGTGATCCAGAAAACAGCAGTAAATGTGGAGGGAGGGGAAGGAGCAGCTCTAGGAGACCTAATACTCTAGCAGTGAATGAAGTGCATTTAAGTACTGGACATAAGACAGCCACAGGGGAAAAAATGAAGGTCAGGGTTTGTTTGCAAGGTGCTCCTATAGCCAACTCCTCTCTCAATTGGGGCAGCAGGTGCTGTGCTAAGTAGCTGGGTTTACAAGGAAGAATAAGAGAAAATGGCTTGCCCATTATGGTCTCATAGATTAGCTGTTAAAACAAAAACTCTTGACATTTATTTTAAAACACCTTCTACGACACCAAAGAAATTATGAAAGATGGAAAATCTCATCAGGTTCCCTGAAATTTAATGGTGGGAAGAGAGTTCTGGTCTACTGGCCTACCATAAATCAAAGTGCATGACGGACTCAGCCATTGTCTTACCTGGAGGGACGTGTGCGTGGGTAGGTTAATGACAGCGCTGCTCTCCTGACCTAGCTGGCCTCTAGTAGTCAGTGCCACCTGAGTTAGTGTTGGTTCTGCCAGTGTGGTGGTGTATCTAGATAAATTGGTAGTTTCTGTAAAGTTTTCAGGATGAGCTTGAATTGGAACAGCTCCACCAACCAAATTCTGACTGTTATTCGAATCTAAAGATGTCGAGCTTTCTTTTTCTGGATTGAGAGAATTAATGTCTTCTCCAGCAAGTTCAGGATAAGAGTCACAAAAAGAGATGTTGTCACCACCAACGGGGTTTTGCATCAGAGGCCAGGCATCTGAAAACTCGCCACAGATGGACCTTGAGAGGGACCCGAAGAAAGTCGGCATGCTCTCCCCGACGGGGCCTGCGTTTCTGCACACATGGTCAAAAGAGCTTTCAGTGTTCTGTGGGCAGAAAAGACACCTCTACAAAGCAGCAGATGAGCCATAATTTTAAGTCTTCTTGATGAAATAACATCTACCAAGTAAAAATTCTACTGTTTCTTATTGTGATAACCCAGCCTCAATACAATAAGTCAAGTTACTCAATTTACTTTAAAACTGAATTCTTAACACCTACTTCTAATTAATATACTTAATCCAATGTCTAAAACATGTAGTTCCCTGGAAGCTTAATGGAGCTTGCTTGGTTGCTACTCCAAAATTTTAAAATAAGAAATCGAACATAATATGTTATGTTTATAACATGTTGAAAATTACTTAGAGATGACAGAGGTGTCACAAATATAAAGCAAAAGTAAAATTAACAGAAAGTAAAGTATAAAAAATGTTAAATTGGATATTAGCCACCTGGAGAGACCTACCTAATTTTTGCCAAAGAGTTACCCCCTCTGAAATCCAGGATTTCATTAATTAAACTAATTAAAAAGAGATATTCTGGCTTGGCACCTGGTATCTCAGTGAGTAGGGAGCTAGCCACATACACTGAGGTTGGCGGGTTCGAGCCCAG